CTGACAAAACTTTTCTGTGATAATATTTGTGTGTAAAATTACCCTTTTGCCCTTATGTCTATATTGAACACAAGGCATAAACTGTGTCATCCTTGTCCAGTTCAATATTTGGCCCTTAGACATTTATCCTGTTATGCAGGATGGAAAAATTCCATCTAGGTCACTCATGTCCCTCAGCATGCTTTGTGAAGTACCCCTCAACTGTCTTTATGGTCATCCAGTTACGGATAACGTTTGATCAGTAATAAAGTACTTAACTCCACATCTAAGGTCCATAGTTATTTCAGGTCGAAGGATGGTATACACCATTATCACCATGAGAATAACTTATGACACCTTGCATAACATTCTATGTAGTATTCTCATAGCGGGTTAATCCAGTATAAATATTACTCCTAATATTCATACCTATGTCAAGACTTGATAACTCCTTATCCATGATCCATGAGGTGTGATCATCAATCTATCTTCATAATAATCTCAATGCTTTAATGTTATCCCACTTTGCAATAAAGCTCGACTAAAGATATTTTAAGAATAATGTTCTTATGTTTAATGTGATCTCATGATTAAGTCACACTTAATATTTCATTAAACAAACGAACTATTCTAGGGACTCTATTATTTTTGGAAAAACAAACATAATAAAAAAATGTCTTTTATTATTAATAAATAATTCGATACAAGTACCCAAAGTATTGGCCTCTAGGGCTTACACCAACCCAATGATGAACTTAGAACAAAGATGCAGAAAAATAAATGAACACAAGAGATTTATCCTAGTTCCCTTTTCTAACTTACGGGTACATCTAGTTCCTTTACATCTTGAAGGATTTTCCACTATTTTAGATCTTTGTACAAGCCAAACACAAAGACCTCTCTTGCATCAAATCTATGGTAGACTTTGAATCAACCCAATTCACAAGACTATTTTTACAAAAACCAACACTATGGTGGAATTTGAATCTCCCCGAATCAAAGAACCTTTTATAACATAAATAGAAAATATAATACTTCCTATTTATAAACACTTTTAGAAAATACACACACCTTCTTTACAAATTTACAATTCAATAATATATGAATCTTAAGTACTCAGAAATTTAAATGAAAGTTTATGCACAAAGTTTCATTGTTATATGATGTATGAACACTTTAAAAATTAATTGAATTGTATGTGAATTTTTTAATGAAAGAGTTGAATGAAAAATCTGATAAAATTTGGTTTAAATATATCTCATGATGCCTATATGATTTGGTGCAATATTACCGAAAAGGTTCGAGAACAATTTCAATGAACATGTATCACAACGGTTTATATTTTTTACAATGTTCCAGTAAGCAATCAATTGCACATATAGATTAAACGATTGTCAAGTTTCTTACGTTCAAAAAATTTCAACAAAAACAAAGGAGCAATCAATTGCACAAATGAAGCAATCGATTGACACCTCCAAATAATTCAATTTTTCAAGGCAGGGAGTACCCTATAATCGATTACTTTAAAGGATCAATCAATTTCACTAACTTAAGGAAATTTTGGCGGTTCTCAAAGTGTGATAATGCCGTTTCATATGCCATAATTTAAAAAAATAAATAAATTATTTTTAGTTTTAAAAGACGTGAAATGAAATGTCTTGATGCATGGATGTCTTAGAAAACTTAGAGATGAATGTATGAGAGTTTTTATGAGCATCTAAAGTTTATCCATAATGAATTGACATTAAATCTTATTTCATGGTCAATTCCTTTTGATTTCCACAATATCTAAAGCTTATGCATTCTTGATTCTTGATTTCAAACTTTTTTTCTTTGCTATTTTTTCTTTGATAAGCTTTTTTTTTCATCAAAACTAACTAAGATAGATGATGAACATCTTTTTCACAGACTACAATACGAAATAACATTTAAATTCAATGGTTATTGTGTAAAAGCCTTCAAGGCCTCAAAAAGATCCTAATCACAACACTTGCTATCATTTCACCTAATTTAAAGAAGTCATTTAAGATAATGTGTGACACAAGTAATTCTGAAACCAGTCTTAAGCTAAAGGCCTAACAATGTTTTTCATTGAATCTATTATGCGAGTAGAATTGTGATTGATATTGCACTGAACTACACAAACCATGGTACAATTAAGTATTTAATGACAAGTAAAGATAGAAAGTTAAGAGTGTGTTTGATTTACTAAAAAAAATAAGGGATTGTACATGACAATTTTTTTTAACCTTATTTGATGTAGAAACTATAATAAGATCGGACAAAATATATGGTAAGAGATCGGACAAAAACATTAATTCTTGTCCCTCATGAAATCATGAGACAACTTTTTGTCCCAAATACAAATTATCAAAAAATATTAAAATATAATTTTTAATTTCTCTCTATTTAATATATAATTCATAAATATAATTCTCATTATTTAATATTTTAATTCATAAATATAATAACATTTTATATATCAATAAATAATATTATAGTAAAAGTTATATTCTTTTTGTCCGGTACATCAACATATAAAAAAAAATAGAGTAAAATAATATATCTCTTCATCCTTTTTGTCCTCCTTCTCATCATTTAATATTTTGATTCCAAAATATTAATAAAAGATATTATAGTAAATATTATATTATTTTATCAGAGGCATAAATATACCAAACAAAATAGAAAATATATTTTTTCATCTTTTTTCATCCTTTTCAATATTTAACATTTTGATTCATAAATACTACTCTCTCTGTTCCAAAATAAATGTCACATTTGGAATGAAAAAATTGTCCAAAAATACTTGTTACTTTATATTACCAATGTAATTTTATATTTAATCTTTCAATTGTATCATCCGATGAATATTCTTAATTTATTGTTTTCTCACTTAACATTAATACTAATTTAAATACACTAAAATTTAATCAAGATAATTTAGTAAAATCACAATTCTCTTTCTTTCATTATTAGTGTTTCTTTCATTATTAGTGTTTCTTAATCGGTGTGAAATAATCAATTGCGACAAATAATATGAGACAAAGAAAGTAATATTTTATATGACAATAAAATATTATAATAAAATTTATATTATTTTATCAAATATATAGACATATAAAATAAAATAGAGAAAAAAAATTATTCAAAACATCGATTATTAAATACAGTATATCACAAAAAAATTATCTTATACTACTATTTTGTACTGTCTAATATTATTTTGTCCAATATTTTTTATTTTGCAAATGAAACACATATCTCAAATTAAAAGATGAATGCCGTTGCTGCAAACGTTTGACTTGAAAATCATATGGAACATAGACTTTCCAAGTGCTAGAATTAGTCAATTAGTCAGGAACAGACGTAGAGGAAAAATGAGCAAAATATGATGGCTCATTTGTCATTTTATGTTATTTATGAAACATTAATTACTTTTTTCATTAATACAATTTTATTTTCCCAGTTCACATATATACTCTAATAATTACTATGAACAAAGATATTTTATTAAATACATCTCATTTTATCATCAACATTAATTTATTTAATTATTTTTGTAAGAGAATGTGCCTTTGTAAACGTGCAAGACGGATTTTAAAATTTAAAATTTAAGACGTTTAAGACGCTAAAAAGTAGTGCCATTTAATGGATCTCAAGGAAGGTAAGTGTAGTTTTCCCTAAAATATTTATGACGGTTAAATTATGATAAAAGTGAACCCCGATTGAATTTGTCATACTTCAACAATGGTAAATTACACAGAGCTTTTGAAAGCTTAAGACGACATTGATCACACATACCATAACTATCACTTGTTATAAAACAAAAAAATATATATTTAAATCATGTGTAATACCTAATGACTTTATTAAATGATCAATTAGAAGTAGGTATGACAACAGGACATGTCGGAGACAATTTTTACCTCTCAATATTCAAACTCGGATTTTTGAACAATCTGTGTTCCACCGTCCTGATCTCCGAAGAGGATGAAGAATTAAAACTAAGGTTGGGTTCGGGTATCCCCTCCCGCCACCATCCATGTAATGAAATCGTTTTTAATAAAAATATTAATTTCCCAACATCAAATTATATTATAAATATTAAAATAAAACAATTTCAAAAAATTCTACACATACAATTTAAATATTTTGAAATGTATAAATCAAAATATCAAAAAATTAATTATATATTTAATATATTAAATAATCAAAACTAAATAATAAAATATATAATAACATAAAGTAGACGGATTTAAGAGCGAGGACTAATCTTTCCATATTCATTACCTGACTTGTCTTTATATTTTATAATAAAAGAATACTCAAGAGTACCAAATCCAAACTTAATTAAAATAGAATTTTCCCAATGTATTTGTTTTCAAGGTGGAAATGCAATAAAAACGCTTATGGAACAAAAGCTACACTTTGTAACTTTTAATATTCACGGTGGGGAAAGTGAAAAAACTATTAATCAATTTTTGGGCGGATTCAAATGGATATTTCCTAATTATGTTGTCATGTTTAATTAAAAGGAGATAAAATAACTCTCAAATCTTAAAACAATGATAAGAAATAATTTAATAAATATACAACTTCATCTCAATAGCTAATTGTGTTAAACTTAAATTTCATTAAATGCACAACAAGAATCCAATTGAAGTTTGTAGGTAGATTATTCACTAAATAAGATTTAGATTTATCAACCAAACTAAAAGTGAGATTTAGGGATTGTTATTTTATGATTATTTCCCCCAAATTTGAATTTATTATTCCCATTACGACAAAACGCGAGAAAAACACGCCGTTTTACCACCCACCCTGTATCTCTGCATCATCGTTAACCTTTCAGTGTTGAGTTTCAGAGTCTTTCAGTTGACCTAAATCCCAATCCCAATCCCAATCCCAATCCCAATCCAAATCAACAATCACTTTCTTCCACAATCAACACCAATCACACTCATGTTCACAATCACAATCCTCATTGATTCACGAAAAATAAAAAATTGATGACAACAATGAAGATCAAGAATCTTCCAGTTCGATACCTAATCGTGCTCCTAACCTTCATCTGCACCTCAGTTTGTTACATCGAACGCGTCGGCTTCTCAATCGCTTACACCGTCGCCGCCGACGCCGCCGGAGTTAACCAATCAACAAAAGGTACAATTCTCTCAACGTTTTACTACGGTTACGCTTTCTCACAAGTTCCCGGCGGTTACTTTGCTCAGAAAATCGGTGGAAGAAAAGTTCTTTTACTTTCGTTTCTATTATGGTCTTCAACGTGTGCGATTCTCCCTCTAGATCCAAACAGAACCCTAATTCTTGTTACCGCGCGTTTACTTGTTGGGGTTGCGCAAGGTTTTATTTTTCCTTCGATTCATACTGTTTTAGCTCAGTGGGTTCCGCCTCATGAAAGATCTAGATCCGTTTCGTTGACTACTTCTGGTATGTATCTTGGTGCTGCTCTTGGGATGTTGTTTCTTCCCAGTTTGGTTAAGTTTAAAGGTCCTCAATCTGTTTTTATTGCTGAAGCGTTTTTGGGATTCGTTTGGTCGTTTATTTGGTTTAGATATGCTTCTGATCCTAAGGCTTCGGCTTCGGGGGCCGGGGAATCGCTTTTGCCGGTTAATAAGAAACTCGATAGGAAGGTTTCGGATCGAACTGTGGAAACTGGAGTTGAGAGAAATGGTGTTAAGAAAACCGGAGTTGGGATTCCTTGGGGGAGGATTATGACTAGTTTACCTGTTTGGGCTATTGTGGTTAATAATTTTACTTTTCATTATGCTTTGTATGTGTTGATGAATTGGTTGCCCACTTATTTTGAATTAGGGCTTAAGCTTAGTCTTCATGAAATGGGTTCGTCGAAAATGTTGCCTTATCTTAATATGTTTGTGTTCTCGAATATTGGTGGTGTGGTTGCGGATTATTTGATTACGAGGAGGATAATGTCTGTGACTAGGACGAGGAAGTTTTTGAATACGGTTGGGTTTTTAGTTGCTTCGTTTGCGTTAGTTGTGATACCGAGTTTTAGAACTTCGGCTGGTGCTGTGTTTTGTTCTTCGGTGGCTCTTGGTTTTTTGGCGCTTGGTAGGGCTGGGTTTGCGGTGAATCATATGGATATTGCTCCGAGGTACGCAGGAATTGTGATGGGTGTTTCAAATACGGCTGGTACGTTGGCTGGTATTGTTGGTGTTGATCTTACGGGGAAACTGCTTGAAGCCGCTAAGGCGTCTGATTTGGATCTTTCGAGTCCGGAAAGTTGGAGGGCAGTGTTTTTGATTCCGGGACTTTTGTGTGTTTTTAGTTCTGTAATATTCGCGTTGTTTTCTACTGGGGAGAGGATTTTTGATTGAGGCAGCGCTGTAACATTCTTTGATTGTTCAATCATTGATTTGATCATGTGCTCTTATATTGTGGAGATTTTAATTTTTATTATATCTCCATGTTATGTTATTCATTCTTGGATAGAGGAGAGGTGATGTACAAAGCTCCGCGGCCAGATTGTAACACCAATGGATATGAATTTGTATGGTCACTATTATGATTTTTTCAACATGTACTATTTCTAGTTAGTAAGTAAAGGTTACAATACAGTTGTATCACCAATGATTCTTAGGTGTTTCTTTATACCTTGGATGAAACTCATATTTTATCAGTATATGATTAAAAGATTGTGCATTTATTTTTTGTTTTACTTTTTCATCTACAAACATTTTGACTCTTATTCTTTGTTATTGATAGATTAATTCAATAGGAGAGGTGATGTTGCAACCATTTACTTCTACTCTTTGCTTTCCTTACTTTGGCTTTTATAATCCCTAATTTGGGTTGAATGGGGGTTGCCTCCCCTCCCTTGGCTGGATTTTATCAGTCAATTATGAGATTAAGATTGCTGTCAGTTATTATTATAAACTTTGCAGGGCGGGGAACAATCAATGAACGACCCGAACCTATAAGCACGGTGTACGAAGAAGATTGAGGTTTCTAAGAACTTGAAATTTGAATGTTTCTGCAACTGCTGGTAATGATCTGGGCTATGGATTAAGTTTACTAATAAATTCATAAAGAAGACTACTGTGAGCAACACTCGTTCTAACTCACTCTTTCCAACACCTCTCTTTATTGGATAAAATTCATGTTGGTCCTGTCATTTTGGTAACAGGTACGCACCCATATAAAGTGGCGGGACCTACATAAATTTCACTAAATATGATAGTGAGCGTTGAAAAGAGTGTCTAAGTGACTGTTGCTACTTTGCCAGCACTTTTCAATTTCATTCATAAAATAATGATATTACCAAGAAGGAAATATTATAGTAAAATTTAAATGCAAACCCAGAATGAGTAGTCATCAAGTTTCCATGTTTAGCTTTGGTTTCTCCAGTTGATTCATTTGAATTATTGTTGCTATGTTCTTGGAATTTTTAGAATGTATTTGTGATGCTTCGCATCACATTTTTAGTTTTCAATCAAAATTTCAAACCTTTGGAAATTAGCACTTATCATTTTTTAGAATCCTTTACTAGACATTATAATCAAGAACATCGGCAACCAAGTGAATCTGAGAGAACCAACTATGCCTATAATAAGCTATACTGGTCCTGTGAGTGCAGGCAATTCAGCTTACAATGAGCTTCTCTTGTGGGGGAACACATTTATTAATTGTTTTTTTATCTATCAAGAACAGTGTTACACTAAGCTCGAGTGGCTTATTATTTTTTGTTCTTTTGAAAATGAATATTGTTTTCATCAATTGCTGAGTATTAGGAAAAATGGCATAATCTAATGTAAAGATAGTCAAGAGAAAGCAAGAGGATAGAAGTTGGGTGGAGAAAAATAAATTGAATTCATCTGAAAGTTTTCTCACACTAAACAGGACAGTTTTCTCACATTAATTGGACAGAAAATGCAAACTTTTAAATGCAAGTTTACTCTTTTTAATTTTACCAATCCATTTTTCTCTATTATCTATGTGGGGGTTTGCATTAATCTTACATTCCTCGGGGTGCAAAAAATCCTTATTCATTCATTATCCTTCTTTCTACTTTTTAGTTCAACCAAACCAGCACACAGGGAACATTTTTTCTGTTTTTCTTTTCAGTGTTTTGAAACAACTTTTAGTTATTAAAAGATACAATTGAAAAAATAGTAATCAATGACAATTATTTTAAAACAGATTTTATTTGCTAAAACGACCGTCATTTCATGAAGTTAGAATAGACGTTGATTTCGATGAAAGCAAATGGATAAAACTACACACTTTCAGAAAAACACTTCATGATGGCATACAGTTGCATTTTTATTTCTTCTTCACATGGATACTCTTTCCGTAATGATTTATAAGCAAATTTGACTTTTTTGATAGATTTGTCAATTAATGTATCTAATTTATATATAGACTAGATAAATATAGAATAAATACATTAATTATCAAAAATACCAAAAAAGTCAAATTTACTTATAAATCGTTATCGAGGGAGTACATTTTAAGTGATATAGAGTGATGATGAAGAAAGTTTCTCCCAAAATATTCTTTTGCCTTTTCAGAGAATATTCCAACACAAGAATAAAGTTTCTTTTCCAACTTACCGTGATTTTCTGCAATATTTGTTGAGTGCAACTCAAGTATTCCAACTGTGTTTCCTCCAAATCACTCCTATGTACTTGATTGAAATTATTGCTACCGGGTATGGCCCATTGTTTTCATCCTAAACCACCTATTGATGTTTATTAAATCAACATCTTTTTTATATTAAAGAACACAATATGTTTTTAAGAGACTCGCATATCATGTGAATTGGGATGAGAATGAGATGCTGGATATGGTGAAATTATCCATGATGCATTACAGTATGATGTCATAAATTTGTTTCATACATTGAAAGCTAAGATAGCATCTTATTGATCCACTAGTCTTTTTAAGTTCAAACATGAAATTTACATTGGTAGATCACTATCCTGCAAGTTGTTTTCAATCAGGAAATGAGCAGGACGAGGATTGACCACTCTGCAATTCTTCCTGACCTCGCCAGGTCGACCCGACTGCAAGTCACCCATTTTCACCATCCCTTCAGCAAATGCTTCGAAAAACTTCTTTTGATCTTCGCTATAGAGCTTCACAAAGCCTCTTGTCTGAGGGAAAGTGTAAAGTGTTTGATCAGAGTTGAGAAACCCTCTTCCACCAACCAAGTCCTTGAAATATTGGTTATCGAAAATCACAGGAGTTGCATCAAGGTTTCCTGTCTTGTTTTGATCAACATCAAGCGGACATAGCTTGTCAAGCTCGGCTCTGAAGTGTGGATCAATGGCCGGATCGGGTTTACCACTTCCCGATTGATTGTACAGCCTAAACATGATCGAAAAACAACGACCTTGGCCGATAGAGTGAGATCCTGAAAGTGCTACAAGGTCTTTGACAGAGAGATTGTATTTTTTGAAGAGGGTAATGAGAGCAGTGGCATTGGCTCTTGGACTTGGCATGATATTGTTTGAGTCTTCTTGACTTGCTGTTAAACTGTCCAATCTTCCTAACTTCACTTCCCAATCAGGTCCTCCTGTCTGCAATAAAAGTGGAATTTTTTACTACATTGGCATATGCAGTAAACATTCTCGACCTTAAATCTCTTATCGGATGGCTCAAATAAACTATTTCAGCCATCAATTCAAGATTAATCGGTCGAGATTGAAAAAAACCGATGTAAACGCAGATCCAAATAACAAATTAAAATGGTGACTATTGATTTTCTACAAGAGTCATATTCATAAATCATAAAAGAAAAATAGTACAAACCAGTGCTACAGCATCTCTAGAAGCCATGATTATGATATCAGCACAAGAAACAACTCCAGGACAAGCCTTCTCAAGAGCCTCTTTAACCTTATCAACAACCTCAAATGATCTTAGAGAATTTATATTTGAAAGGGCCAATTTCTCTCCAAGCATCGTTGGTGTATCATCAAGCAACATAGAAGCATCACACCCCTTCACAAATTCAACAAACCATTCAATCAAATCAATAAAATTCACCAAAAAATTATTCAAAAAAGTAACAGAAAATGAAAAAGATTGAATTTTTATAGTACATTAACAAAGCAATCATGAAACTGAAAGCGCATAACAGAGGCAAGACTTCTGGGTTCTTTAAGAAGTGCTTTTTTCATGACATCTCTGACAATGGTTTCAGCTTTTGGACATGTTTTTGAGTAAAACCCAGGTCGGAGAATTGATGGTGATGATGTTACTAAGATTGTGTTTATGATGAAGATCATCATCGTAAACATGATGATGACGATGTTGCTGTGTGTCTGAAACAACATGGTCCCGGTTGTTTTTGTTTTGTTTGGAACAGTGTTGTTGTGTTTGTGTGAAAAGAGGAGACAGTGAAGTAAAGGAAGAGTATGTAGGTTTTGTAACTTTCCTCTTCAATTCAATGGATATTTAAAGGTGAAGAAGGGGAGTGAGTGGCTGTGAAATTATGTGCATTTAATATTTCTTTTTTTTTTTAAAAAACTTTTTGACCAATTGTTTTTTCTTAATTTTTTTTAATTGAAAATGTTTGGTCAACATCCAAAATAAATTAAAAGAAAATGGTGTAATAAATGTAAAGGGTTGAGTCTAGATAAAACTAGGGGTTCACGACGCGGGTTTGAGCGATTTTGAAAGAAAAAATTACTCGAATCGCAAAAGAAAAAATATGTGATTCGGTTTGGTTCGATTGATTTTTAAAAATAAAATTGAATTAAACCAAACCAAACTAATGCGGTGTAGATTGGTTCGGTTGGTTCAGTTTTTTACAAAAAATTATTGAACATACACATATAAAAAATATATATATAATTTTGTGTTTAATCGTTCATACATTATCATAAAAAAATTTAAAATTGGCAAAATAAATTCATAATTTGATACATAAAATTGCTATTATATTTTTTTCTAAATCTAAAGAATGATATACATAAGATTACATTCTTAAATACATATTTTATATAAAGAATACGATAAAAATATATTTTGGGAAAATAATATTTATAAATGAATAATATTTTATTTTTTTATGATTTGTAAATTAAAATAAATATTATACAAAGAATATGATAAAATATAGACATAATACATTTTGATTTCTCTAAAGAATTAAAGAAATATATATTGGTTAGTAAGATTTTATAACATAATGCGGTTTGATTTGATTTACTTCAATTTGTAAAATATAAACCGGAAACCAAACCAAACCGCGCGGTTCTGTTAGAAAATGACCTAAACACATCCGAATCAAATGCAGTTTTTTGCGGTTTCGGTTTGATTCGGTTCAGTTTTGAGGTTTTCTATTGAGCCGGTTTAGTTTTAAACACCCCTAGATAAAACAACTCAATTGATACTTGATAACCGTCGAGATAAATTTAAGGCAATTTCTCTTTACACCTAGTACATTTCTTCTAGATTTTTAGCGAAAAATTCAAAATACCTCTAGAATTCGGATAAGCATATTCGAACGCACCAACAACCTTTTTTTATAAAATTTACTTCGGATATACACATCGGAATTCACCTGATGGCCTATTTCGGATATGCATATCCGAATTTATCTGAGACAAAACTATCAACATAATTCATAACATTGATTCAACATAATTCAAAGAAATTACATAAATAGTTTTGCAGAAATTTAAAATTACACATTGTTATAAACAGGTAGTTTAAGACGTTGCAACATTTTGATAACATCTTCTGCCGATCTTTGAAACTTCACATCCATCTCAATCGGATCGTTAGAAGAGTATCGTTGAAAAGTACCCCACATAACCTCTAAATCATCGTCGTTCTTGAGCTGAAACAGAGTAAACTTTACGTTTCCTTCAGTGTCAAGTGAAGGTGAATGATACTCAAACTTAACCATCTTTCGATTCTATAAATATCATAAGAGAGAATGCATTATGGTAATGAGCTCGGCTAACGGGGTATCCTGCGAGGATCTGAACTAAAGTGGCAACTGTGCACCACTGAAGTAGACAAAAGAAAAGTGTGGATAAGTTTGTGTAATTTTTGGTTGTGGTTTGTGTTGGAGAAAGAAAAGGTTTGGAGACCCAATTTATAGCCTTTTTAGAGCAATTTAGACCAAAGAAATCGTATCAGGACATATTTTGAAAATGAACATCCGAATTAAACTTTTTTTTTACCAAAATAAGAGATTTTTGGATTTGCACATCCGAAAATACCACTTTTTTTTTATAAAAATAAGAAGTGAATTCGGAAGTTCATATCCGAAATAAGCCCTGTGTTTTTTTTAAATTGAAAGATAATTCGGAAGTGTATATCCGAATTATGCAGAAATGGAATCAGCACTATAATTTGTACAAAGAGACATGGAAAGAATAAACAATTGTAAAACTAAATATAGATAATATGTTATATATATATATATGTATTGAAACGTATAGATTTTATAATGTGTACGACAATATATTCAAAAAATAGTTCGATTACATTCTAAAATAAACTGAACAAATTATCACCGCTTAAATTTAAATTCGGACCTTTCTTCGACTTCTCCCTATTTGATTCTCTCTCAAGCTTCATCAAAATGGTGAATTCTACCATCCTTTCCAAAAATATATTCGGCCAAGTTTCAGCCTCTTTTGCATGATATGTCGTCCATTCCACGAATGTAGTTGGAATAGGACACCCCTGTTTGAAATAAACCTGAACAAAATGGCGTGACCTAAGGTACCCAATACACATGATACGACCAAATGGATCTTTAGGAGGGGGAGTTCGAAGAGAAAAAAAGGTTTCCGAAAAATCATATCTTATCAAGTCGATGCACACCCTCCCATATGCACTTGTTATAAGATGACCCATTTCAGGAAAACTCATCCACTTTTCAACTGGGGCACGAACGTTAACACTTGGAACAAGAGTATTGTGAACTTTATTGAATGCTTCCGTAGTCACATATAATAGGGTGCAAAGTTCCCTATGCATCGTCAACTATGAAATAAGTGTTTGGCGCACAAGGGTGTGATTCTCCTCTCCTTTACCAATTAACTCAGACACGGCCCGAAACCCGCAATTACCATCACTCCCCATTTCAACGATTCTTTCAATGTGTGTGCATAAAAAGTGGCATCTCATCAATATAGATAATCAATGATGTTTGTGGTTGTCTTATAATAGGCAGTGTACGAGGTGGTTTAGAAATCCTAGCTCCCTTGTTAACACTTGTTTTGGATTTTAGTGTTGGAGAATTTGAGAATATTAAATCAACAACTTCGTGGTAAAAAGGAGTCCGCTTTATTATACTGTCAGCTTTTGTAATTTTCACCTTTTTAGGCGCACCTTTGGTTTTTACCGGTTGCAAAGGGGGTTTCAAATCAGTTGTTTCCGGAAAGACGACTTTTTTCAACTGTTCTTTAATGTGTAATTTCGTAGCATCACCAGCTTTAGAAAATCTATCCATTATCACTTCCAACTTGGTTATGATGGTTATGTGGGATTTACCTTCCTTTGTCGGCTCGTAGTCATTGAATCATAGTCTTTTCCATTGAGTGCAAACCTCATCCATACGTATGGGGGAATTGAGCTTCATTTTTTTAGAAATAAGACAAGCACATGGAAGTACGTAGGTCGTCCTAATTGTACACCCACACTTCAAAATATCTGGCCCCATCATTTCCGATTGATTTACTTCATGATAAATGAAATTCAATCTCGTTCGGGATATATTGAGAACCAATTGTGCATATAGTGTTGTCTTTGAACCAGTGTTCTAATACAGTTTTGCTCCTACCAAAAGTTGTTTGAATTTCATTATGTTGGTTTTGGAGCATTTGGTTCACCGTGTCTCATTCTCTACAAAGATCTCACTTGCTATCACCCAACCACTTCTTCAACGCTGCATGTGCAAATTCCACTATATAAGTTGTTATGTTACCGAAATGTTTGACCCAGTCCGTATAAGCACATACAACTTGCTCTTTCACTTGATCAAGGATAGTAGACTCAACATATTTCAAGAAATCGAGATATTCCACACATAATTTCTTGAAGTTTACCACATTCTCAGTATGCAACTCTTCTGCAGTAGAATTAAGAATATCATTCCATGCGCCCATTATCTTCTCAACCACAACACCGAATTTAATCATGTTTTCTTCTTCACCTTTTTTTCTTATATGATACCAACAAAGTAATGTGGTTGATGAAGGAAACACAGTATCAACTGTAACACCCTGATATTTAATTATTTATTTAATTAAATATTTTTGAATATTTTATATTAATTCGAATTTTATCGTCGAAGTCAGAATTATTTTATTAAGTTGGAATAATAATTAATCGGATTAATTTGATAGAATTAAATTGAAGTATTATTTTACCATTAAGCTTAATTATGATATTGGGCTTTAATTGGTGGTGTTGTATAGTATTAGGATGGGTATGTCACTTAGGCCCATTTGAGTTTATTAATGATTAAATAAAATAGTATTATTATATAGAATAAATGAATTAGAGGAGAAAGGGAAGAAATAGAGTTATCAGGAAAGAAGAAAAGGGGAACAAGGGTTTTGTGAGAGGAGAAGAAGATCAAGGATATTGCTTCTAGTGCCATATTCACCAGAAATTCGGTTGAAATTTCTTAGAGTTGTACTAAATCCAAGGTAAGGGTGGGGTTCTGACTCTATAATAGGGTATGTGATTAATAGTATGTGAATTTGAGTTATAAAAATTATTTTTATTTGTATTTGAAATTGATATATTGGTGAAATTGATATATATATACTATTTTGTTTAAACTCCATGGCATTACAATAACTTACTGTAGCGAAAAAGAAATTACCTCTTATAAGTTCCTTATGTGTTGATACTGTAGCGGCATATTTCCTCACGCTTAGCACTGTAATGAAAATTGGATAGTGATTCTAGTTACCTTACTTAATCATATACTATTTCTATAATATTTATTTTAGTATAATATATATTATGCTAATTAATAATAATAATAATAATAATAATAATAATAATAATAATAATAATAATAATAATAATAATAGTTATATTAATAATTTAGTATTATTAATATAATGATTTAAGAGTTGAGTTAGAAATAAGTATTTGAATAAATAGTTAATTTGGGTTAATTTCTATTCTAATAGAATGTCATTTGAGTTGTTAATAGGGTTGTGAGAGTTGCTAATAGTGTTTTTAAAATTATCAATAAAATTGTTTTGTATCATTAAAAGTCACTTTTTATTTGTTTTGCATAATTCCGGTATATATTGAG